CTAAACCCTAAAACCCTGAACCATACCAAAAGCCTAAGTAAAAACCACAAGGACCGGCCTTTGCCCTCGACGTCCAAGCCACGGAGGAGGAGAATCTGAGCAGGCTCCGGGTTTAGGGGCTCGGGTTTAGGGTTTTAGGGTTTTAGGGTTCAGGGTTTTAGGTTTTAGGGTTTTAGGGTTTTAGGGTTTAAGGGTTTCAGCGTTTAGGGTTTAGGGTTTCAGGGTTTAAGGGTTTCAGCGTTTAGGGTTTAGGGTTTAGGGCTCCGGGTTTAATGTAGGAGCCTTAATTATTAGAATAGGGCCCCATAGGGCTTTGGAGTATACTGTACTATAACTATATGTTTTGGGGTATACTATACTATAACTATGATAAGGAACCCCCCAAAAATGGTCTAGGTAGTTATTTAGGCCCCTATAGTAGGTTCGTGTGATCAATGGTCGTCGTCTCGGAGCCCGAATTGGTTCAAGCTCTCGGCATTAGCGTTTAGGGTTTGCGGCTTAGGGTTTAGGGGTTTAAGGGGTTTAGGGTTTGGGGTTTAGAGGTTTAGGGTCTGCGGCCCCATCGAAGTCATGTAATATAACAGTTTCAATAGGGTTTTGAGGCCCACTATACTATAATTACAATCAGGAACCCTCATAATAGTATAGGTAATTATTTAGGCCCCTACATTACAGTAGGTGCCATTGTAGTTGCACGTGTCTTCTGGCTGTGCAGTCGATGATGGTGGAAGGGTCGTGGGCGTTTGAACATGTGGGTGGTTGTCAAAATTATGGTCCCTTTTTGGGTCCTTATTATAATACGGCACCTATTATTTAGGGTACCTACCCATGTGCAGTAACTGCAGCCAAACAGCATCCGTAGACAGGAACGGAATCAGCACCGCACAGTACAATGCAATCTGTGCCAGGACGATCGCGTACCTTTGCAACGCAGCGGTGCGGTTCAGGTTTTGGGCATGAAGAATTAGGACAAGGTGTTGGGGTGGGACGATAGTAAGGCGATATGTATGTCTTTTGTAGATGGTGAAGGAGCGCCTTAATAACTAAAACTAAATACTATATGCACACCAAGTGCCAAGCTTAGCACACTGGAACAACATCCTGCATGACATGAAATACCAAAACTAAGAACTCCGGGTACCAAGTGGCTGAGAGGTGCAGGGGCGTGTTAACCAACTTTCACTGATGGACAAAGTCTGCATTGTCCATCATCAAAAAGCGGAGAGAGAAAGGCCGCTTGTCGACGGGGCTGGCATGATGCTTCATCCGCGCTTCCCTCCTTCTCAGCATGCGAATCCCGATACTCCATAGCGACAAGATCAACAAACCCCCGCTTGGGGCTTGAACTCAAAGCGTGACCTACCTACAACATGTGTCCGTGTTGAGCGGTGGGCCGTAATTATACACCATTGTTCGTTTCTAGACGAGCTGAATAATATAGGGGCCATGAATAATGAGACTAGGGTTTGGGTGTATATTTTATAATAATGTTGTGAATTATGATAAGGAGCCCCCCAAATAGTATAGGTAATTATTATAAGGCTTAAGGCCTCTATATTATGGAATTTGCCTTCACGGAGCTGGCAGCACGGCGGGTGAAAATGCTTGCACTTGCCACCGAATCGCTGCATCATGCTGTTTCCGCACAGGTTGACCCAGAAGGGCTTGTCGAAGGACCTTATCAAAAGGCATCACTGTCTCAAATTATTTCCGCTACGGCCTACCAAAGCTCCCCTAGATGATGCTCGAATTGCCTCCGACCAAAAGGCACATTGCATCCTTTGTATTGATTAGAAGCTCGTACGGCAAGACGTGGCAGCGCAGAAGAAACAAATCACAGCGACCCCTCTTATGACCACGGAAGGTATTATCACGTGACGACACAATAACAACCATAAATGCCGCTGAGACCACCACCCCCAGCACCAGCACCAGCA